CATATAAGCCCTATTCATCAAGAGTCTACTTTATAATGTGATAATATCATATTAATGGAAATCAATGGAATAAACATTATGCAGGAAAAAATGCATCACAATCATGTCATGCTAGATCTGGCGCACCAGAGCCGTGTTCAGATTCAGATCCGCTTCGACCAGGCCCATGATGAAGAAGGCCAAGAGCACCACGGCATAGATGGCGCAGGCTACAATGTAGAAGAGCTGCATGTAACTGCTAGACCCCAACTCATTGCAGCACTTGCCCTCACACATGGCCACCGATATTTTGCCGTGCTGAAAGCACGCTCAAATACGGTGATCGTTTGGGCGGGCGCGGGCGCATGGGGCCACGCGTGGTCCAAAGCCACACAGCTGATACGCACGAGACAGAGGTAACACACCGATCTTTTGCTGTGGTGCTTTTGGATGAACATTGGCACACCAAACCCTTAAACCCTTGCTGTGCCTCCAAGCGCTTCCAACGAAGCTGGGCCCGTAGAGACACGACGTTGATCCAACCGGACCAACGGATCTCCAGCTGGACCGCGTGGTTGGGTGCACCCGGCATGGGCGAGCCTGGCCTAGCCTTCTGAAGGTTTGACCTAGCCTTCTAAGACCATTGAAGCGATGGTTGACCGGGCTTTCTAGTGCAAAATCATTACAGTATACATGGTCGGTCAAGGCTACTAAATCAATGGTGGTTCGAATCCTGGGTTGGGGTGCCCTTGGAAATATCAACCATACTAAATCACTCCAAAACCATATAATAGCAATGTATATATATATATAGTAATTATCCTTGGGTATTATCCTTGGGTACGTCCCATCATCAGCAACAGTGGATGATACTGTGGATGATGATGGTTAGGTTCCAGGACCACTCAAAAAATCCTCCAAAGAGTCTTCCTGGTGCCCTGGTCTTTTCCTCTCACCATGTTTCAACTCCCAAAACTGCACCCCCACCGACAGTTAGCCCCCAAAGACTGCGCTCATCCCACTAGAAATCCGGCCCTTTGGTCAGGCCAGGCAGCCACAGCCAAAACGATGAAGCCAGCTCTCAATGTGGAGTCCACATCGAAGCAAGTCATCACCCCACCTGCTCCGATGCGTGGCCACACGCACCCCCCGCCCTCAGGGTGGCAACGTGACGTGAGCTTCCACGCCGGGCGTGAAACGGGCGTGATTTCTTGGGAAATACGAGCAAGGCTTGAAAAGAGAAGCAACTACAGTTAATTAAACTATATGCCAGCTGTCTCTTCTCAGTAGTAGCAAGGGCATCGCTAGTAGGAGCAAGAAGCTACTAGTAGCTCCTGACATTACTACTATAGGAACGAGAAGCTACTAACTAGTATAACAAAGGGCATCGCTACGAACGGAGCAAGAAGCAATAGTAGGTTGGAGGAAATCGCTACTAGCAAGAAACTACTACTAGCAACAAGCTCAAACACGACTAATGGGACTGCCAATATATCCCGATCAATTGACCCCCGAGTCTACCACCCTTGGCCTGATCGGCAGTCCTGTGGCAGTCCCATGGCCGGGTCGTGTCAGGGAAGGGCATGACTTGCTCCATCGAAACGGCCCCACCTGGCATCTCGTCGGCCAGGGGGCTCTTCGCCAGCATCTGATCCAAGGAGTCCTGGGCACAGCGTCCGGACACCGTTCGGTTTCGTCGTCCGGACGGTACTGGACTATCCGAGTCCCATGTCCTTCACCAGCAAAATCACATGTCTTCAAGTGGTGTCTGACACCCCGTGGATCCAAAAACAAGGCTGGGCCTCGACCCGCCAAAGTCCACAAACTACGCTCCAAGCACCAGCATGCGGGCCCTGAACATAGCAGTTTTTTCCAAATGATGGTGGCACCCCTGGCAACACAAATACTGAAACTCCATGATGATACAGTATATAGTCACGGTGTTTTAAAAAGTAACTTAAACAAGTCGCCGATACCAATACAATATTTATACAAAGTATGTCAATGTGAGTGCTCTATCTTCCTAGGGTTCCAAACAGGCCCTGGAAGCCCTAAACCATGGTCCCATCCTGTCTTCCCACACCTCCCCACCCAACACCATACGGGTTTTGGGGGTGCAAGGCGGAGCGTTGGAGCTGGACCCCGTGCCCGGCAAAGCCTCGCCATTGGTTTACACACACAAACGATTTACACTCTGACATTGGTAACCTGGGTCTGATGGTTTTCCTCTACCAGTGGTTTTCAGGGGTCCATGTGAGTTTTCGAGAGTGTACCAATCTTTTGCCATCTAACCAGGTTACCTGCGCCTAATCTACCTATTCTACCTTAATCATGATCTTGGGACATGATGACACATGTTATACCTTTACATGCTTGACATGGCCACCCCACACCAAAACCGTCCCCAAAGCAACCATCTCTTGGCCGCAAGCCAAGGCGCACACTTGTTGCCCACGATGAAGTCCGCGAACTGCCGGATCTCGAGGACCCCGGCGAGGATGGTCACACAGAAGACGTCCAGGCCACTCCTGGGAGAGGACGGTCGCCGGCGACCGAGGTCAGACGGGAGAAGGGCCGGGCGAAGCGGATCGGGTTAAAGCCTCCAACATGGGAACTCCAGGATGGGGGCACGAACACATGAATGAAGCAGGTGCTTCGAAGAAACGAAAAGCCGGAACACTGACGCGACCTTTGGGCCACATCCACTTGGATCACATCCACTTGGATGCTTGACAGGTCATCCGTCGGCTCGGACGGCCGTCGACTCGGCCGTCCGAGCCGCCGCAGGACACCGCAGGACTCGACACCCCAAGCAGGGCATGGAAGAAGGCATGGGCCTTCCCGGAACTTCCATGGCTTTAAAGTATGTATGAATATGATATGGTAGACTCTTGATGATATTTCACTCCCCATATGAAGAGCTTCGACGATCCAAAAGGTTCTTTTGACATTCAAGAGCCGGGACTGCTTCGGCGACAGGCCAAATCCCCCAGTTCCAACTACTGATGTCATCAGGTCATGGGTCCTTCAATACCTACCACACACATCTGCTTGATGACCCAGCTATATCCCACAGACCCAGCTCCAACCCGTTCAGATCCACACCTAATGCAGACTCTTGATTAGTACATTCTCCAAGCCTGAAGAGGATTTTCAATTCAAGCGGGGGGATTATTAATCAAGAGTCTACATCTACATCAAAAGATCGGTTCGCCAGATCCACCTGGACACCACACCTGCGACCCCCCTTCTCCAAGAGGCCAAGCATTTAGGACCTGTGCTGTTAGGAAGAACTGCTTCTGCATGCGCGTGCTCATTGGCGCTGTCCATAAGACAATCAAGATGATGTGGTAGACCACCACGACAATGATGGCGAAGAGGAAGAACACTCCTGGCGAAGATGTCCGTTTCACACTCCCCTTTCCCTTTTGGTTGAAGCCGTTTCGCGTTTCGCTGGGAAGAGTCTGGTGCGAGAGTCTCCATGTGAACCGCTAAACACGTGGTTCATGGGATCGGCATCGACTCATAGGATCGCCCCATGGACCCCGACTTCAACCACCCCACAGTATATGAGTCACTTTTACTTGGCATTTCTTCTCTGAAATCCAATGTGCAGTGTAAACTGTGCCTAGGGCCTACGGGAATCCGTTCCTTAGCCAGCAAGAACCTGAGTTCCCACACCAAACTCACGCCTGCGTGCCCGAGCAGGACACACCTGCGTGCCCTTGCAGCTGAATTAGCGAATTGCATTCGGTTTTGTGCACGACACGAGAATCGACTCCCACTCCTTGAAGCATGAGAATCCAAAAACCTGGGGCGGTGCAGGAAAAGACTGGCGAGGGCAATGCCCAAACGATGCATGTACCGAATGAGTTGAATAATAGGAAAAAACACACACATATATATACATATATACATGGATTGGAACCATATTGAAAGTGGAAAGCCACCTGTTTGTAGAGGACAATGGTCATCCAAGGGGCCAACCCACCCACCTCCACGAAAGCTGCAGGGACGGATTGAACATGGAAACATGTGTCCTTCAAGCCGGGGAACTCTCAAATGTATTGTAAGAGGTCGCTCTTGGAGTAGAGTAGTAGTTTCACACATGTTCTAAATCACCCTTAGTGCCGGCACTCGGCCGTACTAACAACTTTAAAACAAGCTCCGGTGCCACTGGAACCGGTCAATTCCATGACCTTAATGACCATGGGAAAAAGCAAAAGTCCCGAAGGGAAAGCCAGGACTCGATCAACAAACAGGTGCCTAGTCTAGACTACTCCATCAGTTTGAGAAAAAACAAGACAGTTCCGTCGGGGGCTGAGGTCACCTGGGCGTTTCACCAGTCCTGAACGGCCGAGTCCTCACGCTAACCCCGTCTCGGGAGGGATGCCCTGTCTGAAGGGGTGAGGACAAAGGACGCCCAGTCTCATTGCTTGGTCTCCGCGACATTGGCACCGTCGGATTCCAAAACCATATCAAACCATTGTACTATATATATATATATATGTATATACATGGCTAGACATGGCATATATAAATACATACTAATGCAGTCTATACATGTACATACACTGATGCACACCATTCACTAAGTCTGTGATGTTGGCGCCCCAAGAGCAACAGGATCCATCTGCGAATGTTTCTACTCCGCGATCACGTGGACGCCACGCCCATGGGCCCATGGGTGTTTAGTGGCGCGCCGGACTGGCGCCACAATCAGATAGATCCAACTAAATCAACTTCAAAAAACAGCACCAGCACCATCCATGAATGATTCTGGCTAGACTACCCAAGGTCTTACGGATCGGTCGCCCCGAAAAATCCGATCGATCGGTCAAACCTGGCCGAGTTGGCCATTGCTGAGACTTCACGTTGGGCCGAAGCGCCGTCAGGGTCTCCACTGGCTTCTGGGATCTTCATGCCTCGCGCCGCGCCGCGCCGCGGCAGAAGTGCGGACGGCCCCACTCCAATGCACCCGCGATGCTTCAGTGGGGACTGGGACCGAGGGGACCGAGCGCTGCGTCGCCGTGGCAAGAAATGAGGTCGCGGATGAGATGTAGACTGACAGGGCTTTCAAAGAACATGTGTGTTTTCTTTATCTGCCCTGTTGAGACTCTATATACAAAACGAAAATAGGTCATTTAATGTGTGTGTGTGTGTCCAGTTCCGATGCTACAATTGTATAAAGGGTGTCAACACCTGAAGGTCCCGCGTTGCCCAAACCACGTCTTTCGCTCGATCTCCTCCTTCACTCCTCTTTTCGCGGCTTCCCAGGCCAAACAAATCTGAAGGTCCCGGCATGCGCATCCGTTTACGACACACGATCCGTCTACGTGTGCGTTCCTGCGCATCCTGCACTTCAGGAGAGAGATCGGAATCAGCTCTCTGTCTGAACAAACGGACCGTCAACGGACCAAACGGTGATCCATCAAAATTGTCATAGCCAAGCTGTTCCTCACTTGCCAAGTTCACAATGTGACTTGCTGGAGTGTCCCATGTCCTCTTCTAACTGTATATATAATGCCCATGTACCCCACATGTCACATGAGATGTCATGATCAAGAAGATCCGAAATGTGACCCTCCGAGTGGAAGAGATCCGAGGATATGCTTGGAGGGTCTAACTACCTTCGGAGGATATGGTCGGAACCCTAGGGAAAAGTGACCGTAAAGTTGCGCGGCTGGCTTCAATTCAGTCACTATAGTCACCCCTTCATAACGCCAGCACATCACCGAAGGCAGAACCAAGGACTTGTGCACGACGGAGGGGCACAAGATGGTCGACGGAAGGACGACATGGCCCCGGAAGGAACACACACTTTCGTCTACGAAGTAGGCCGCGCCGATCCACTTCTATCATTGGAGGGAGGGTCAAACAGGTCAATCCCAGACACGACCCATGGGACTGCCATATATGCCGCCCCATTGACCCCCCTGGCACCACCCCAACTGATCGGCATATATGGCAGTCCCATGGAGTGTTTGGGATCTGAAATATGCTATTTCGTGAGGTATCTTAACGCGGTTAGGTTTTTGCTGGTGGCCTTCCAAAAGCCTTGCTTTGCTGAAAGGCACCTATTTGTAAGTCTGGAAGATTAAAAAAAAGAGAAGGGGCCACCAATTACAAAGGCCCTGGATTGGGTAGGTGGAGATCTCATGGAACACATCTTGATATAGTAGTAGACATCATAATTGTTATCATCCTCATCCTCATCCTCATCATCATTGAGCCATGGTCTGTTGTTCATCATAGTAGTACATAATGACAGAGTTAAACAGGTTTTTTGTTCTAGCGTGTCACTTCCCAGCAATACTCAAGCAGAATTGTTTGGGAAACTCGACTCGAATCGACTCTTGCAAAAAAACCTGCAGTTGACTCAGACCCAAGCGCTCACTCCAAGCTGCGGTGTTTTTCTTTTGAAACTTGGTACTGGGTACCGCTGTCATTCGTGACGCGACGCGATACAGCTCTTTGAACTGTTGCTTGTTGCTGCCAGACATTCAAGTCTAGCAGCATCATGTTTTCAGCCCTTTTTGGCTGCTTTCAACTCTCAAGTCTTTGTCTTTGACCAACAAACCAACAACCATGACATAGTCTGTAAACAAGACACTCACACATACAGCCGAGACTGGAATTTTCATCAACAGTCTCGATTCCGACCAAGCATCGGATCTAAAAAAGACCCTGCCACCTTCCAAGCACACTGAAATTTATTCACATTCACACCCACTCAAAACCGGCACAGCACTTGACATGTGTGTGTTTTCACCACCCAAACAAAACTAAAGCAATGTGACTCCAGTTATTATATTGTCACAAGTTTCATAGATATACATTGTATATTATTATTGTATTCCACATTCCGCTGATCTGGAGTGAGTTTGCAGTTCGTCAGTCGAGACTGGAATTGTGATCGACAGTCTCGATTCCGACCAAGCATCGGATCTAAAAAATAAGACCCTGACCCTGGTTCCTCAGTCGCAGTCACGATCACGAATTGACGACAGTCCCTCACTTTCTGGTCTTCTTCTTGCTGCTACCCTTGTTGTCCTGCCAACAACGGCGGTAGTAGTAGTATTAGTAGTAGTGGTAGTAGTAATAGTAGTAGTAGTAGTAATAGTAATAGTAGTAGTAATAGTAGCAGTAGTAGTAATAGTAATAGTAGTAGTAGTAGTAGTAGTAGGAGTAGGAGTAGGAGGAGTAGGAGGAGTAGTAGTAGTAGTAGTATAGTAGCTAGTAGTTAGTAGTTAGTAATTGGCGTGTTTAGTTTTAGTCTTAGTTATCCATTTACAGTAGTGCTGTCCCTCACCACGCTGGAAATGTTTCTCCTTGTCGTCGCCCTGTGCTGCTTTCTTCTTTTTTGCATTGTCAGCGTCAGCGTCCTGATCCTGCGCTGGCTTCAGCTCAGCCAACTTCTCTTTCATCACAGCTACAGTCCAACTGGCAGCCACTTTTACACCAGCCGCCTCAAGCTGTTGTGTGTAGTAGGCTTTGGAACCTGGACGGGGGTTAGCTGCTTGTTTTGGCTGTGACTTGGGCTTGGGTTCGGGTTCAGCCAGAACAATCGCTTTCGGAACCATGGCTGCCCCCAGCATATTTGCCACAGAGACAGAGGCCTGCTGCCGAGGGCCTGCGCTGGCAGTCGTGCGACTGGCACTGGCAGTGGCAGTCTGTTCAGGGTCAAGCCCAGTCCCAGGCTCAACCTTAATCTGCACTGCTGCTGCTGCTGCTGAAGGAAGTTCGGAGGAGGTGGCTGGCATTGCGTTCATTTGCTGCCTGATGACCTGCAAGGCATCATCTGCAGCCGCTGCAGCCTCTTGCAATGGTGCTGGGGCGGCTGGGGTTGGGGCCAGGGCTGGGGCTGGCGGGGGTTCTGCCTCCTCTCCATCTCCAACAGGTTGCCGCGGCCGGGGCTTGGTTTTTGTAGCGGCTGCTGGTGGTGCAGCGGGTGCTGAAGCTGCTTTGCCCTTGCTTGCGTCTGACTGTGACTCAGACTGAGACTGAGACTTCTTATCATTGTCTTCTGAGTCTTCTGCTGCTGCTGCAGGCCTGGCTGCTGCTGGGGCTGGCACTGGCACTGGTGCAGCTTTTGCTTGTGATGTTGGCGTCGGTGGCAGTGGTGGTGTTGGTGCTGAGAAGCCAGCTGCCGCTGAAGTCTTTGTCTCTTCTGTCGTCGTTGCAGCTTTTGCTGTTGCTGCTGCTGCCGCCGCACCTTTTTCAGGCTCTGCCTCTGCTGGTTCAGGTCGTGCGCCGCCGCCTTCTGTTTGAGTTTGAGCAGTGCCGTGTGGTGGTGGTGGATGAGGCGTATGCGGTGTAGTTGGTGGCACCGCTGCCACACTACTATGTGCTACTGCTTTTGGTGCTGCTGCCTCTTCTCCTGTTCCTGTTTTTGTTTCTGACTTGCTGCTCTTTGCCTCCTCCTCCTGCGTCTTCTCTGGTGCTTCTTCTTGCGCCTGAGACTCACCCTCTGCCTCAAGGGCGTCAGTCTCATCATGCTCATCCATCAAAGCTTCCAATGCCATCTCCAAAGTCTCCACAGGCTCAGGATTCCGATTTTCTTCTGTGGTGTCTTCTGGTGCTGGGTTTTCAGGCTGCTTCTTCTGAAGCTCTGGCCCTGGCGGCGATGCTGTCTTTTCTTGTTGCTGCGCTTCAGGCAGTTCTGCTGCTGCTGCTGGTGGTGACGGCGCTTCTTGCGGCTTTGGCTGCCCCTGTGTCTGTGCTTGCTCAAGCTGCTGCTGCTGCTGCTGTTGCTGCTGCTTGGCGCTTGTGTGTTCATCTTCATGATCATGCGTCTCTTCTTCTGCTGGCTCTGTTTGCTGCTTGCCACTTGCATTTGCACCATCAGTTTTGCCTGCACAGTTCAAGTTCTTGTTCTCAGCAACATCACCTGTGCTTGCAGCTGCGTCTGCTGGCTGAATGGCTTTGACGCTTGGTACCCCTGGCTGAAGCAGCTGCGCTGGCGTGAGTTCAGAAGTGGCTTGGTTCTGCTGCTGAGGCTGCTGCTGCTGCTGCTGGCTTTCCTTGCTTTTCTTCGTCTCCTCTTTCTTCTCAGAGGCTTTATGATCGGCGCACCTTTGCATGAAGGCGCTCAGGATATCCAAAGCATCATTGACCAAGATGCTAGTTGGTACTGTATCCACCTCATCCAAGCGATCCACTTCTTCAAATTTAATGGAAGGCTGGAGAATCTTTAGTAAAGGGTCTTGGTCAACTGCAGAGAGACGATGAAAGGATTTAACATCAGTGCATCGCACCTCCCTCTTGGAATCCTTTTCTGCCTTCACAAGCTCTTCATGAATCCTTCCAATACGCTTGCCAAGCTTGCACTTCTTGTCCACAGCCTCTTGCACCAGGGCATCAAGATCGCCTTGAAACTCGTCGAATGGCCAGACAAAGTCAAACTCCAGCCCCACTAGACCTCGCACTGTATATCGAGCCTTCGCCAGCTTGGAAAGCCATAACAGCAAGGACTGAGCTACGTCAAGTTCAGCCGAGACTTTTTGAAGGAAGGTGACTTGCGATAGCGAGGTGTTCTCGTCATCAGCTTTCTTCAAATCAAAGAAGGTGACTTGCTCAGCATAGTCAACCTGCTCCTTCAGCCTTTCATCAGCACTTCCCCTCAAATGCGAGGGGACCATGTAGTGCCAGTGGACTGAGAAGTTTGCCTCTGAAAGCGGGACTTCGATCAATACAATGCCAGGAGGGGTGAGTAAAACTTGCTTCGGCGTCAAGCAAATTGTGAAGCCTCCATATTGGCAAAAGGAATCGGGATCAACCCCCACCAGTGCGTCGCATAGTGTCAGCATGGACTCTCCTGCAACATCCACATCCTTGTCTTTGGCGAACTTCTTCCAAGAGTCAATGCCAATGCCAGCGACAAACCTGCAACCTTCAGCGCAAGCAATTGCACGGCCAAGCAAGATCTCCGTCGGTCCTTAGATTTGCTGAACTGAATTCCAGACCAATCTAATCTGTAACATGTATCATGTATGAGATTATAGAAGTATGAAATTCATCCCTTCCTACTTCCTACTTCCTCCAACTGACTCCAACTTCCCAGCCTCAAGCTGAATCCAACAGCCAGGCCAAAGCCCAAACCTAAAGGTAGTTAAACATGTCCCAGATTCCAACATACTGGAAGTTGGTCTTGATGGCCATGTAGCGTGTCTTGAAGAGCTTGGACAAGACTGCACTCGCGTCTTTGCTTGGCGCTGAATTTGCTGCTTCAAGGTCCTTCAAGTACGTCTGTCCTTGATCTCCAAAGACTGCTGCTCCCCAAAAGGATTTTCTCAACAACGTCTCATCCTGCCTTGTCCAATCTCTTGAATAAAGGACTTGGGAGAACCCACTGGCCTCGTCTTTGACAAATTTGGTTCGGCTGGAATTCTGAAAGTCAACAGAGCTGGCAGCCTTTGCGTATGCCTGAAAATCTTTCAAGACAGGCTCTGGAATTT